ATTTGTATTATTATTATTATTTTTATTATTATTATTATTTTTTTACTGTTACTATTACTATGACTATTTTAATTAAGGGACTTTTACTGACGATTTTCAAGCCCTTTGTTACTAGTAATTTTTACTTGATCTGTTGGCAAGTGTTCAGTGCGTAATCAACTGCTAGTGAATTTAACAGTTGGTGCATCTGCATCTCAGAAAATAGGTCAAGTGTGATTTGTTATAATTTTTTTCTAAACTTCTTCTTAAGATATTGGTTTGAAAAATTTTTACTTTGGTATTATGTGTATTTAACTCAGTGGGATGGAATTTTAGATCCGGTTGTTTCTAGTTCAGGTTTATTAGGCAAAAAGTTGCCGCTTTGACCAATTTTCTAACAGTGATTACAATTTTACTTTTGATAATCTCTGATAGAAAAATACTACCAAGGCTGTTTTAAAACGAAAATCAATTCAATTTCACTCAAAAGAACGTTTTCTCAAATTAAGCTTTTTCAAGCGACATTAATTGATGCGGAAGGCCCACATAGCTTGATAACGTGGATGACAAAGAAGTTTGTGTCAGAAATCTTTCAACTTGTTTTCCAAAAAGGTTTGTTGTTAGAGGAGTTTCGGTAATATGCCATCGTCAAATCTTTGCTTAGTCTTATTAGCCTGCGTAGAACAATCTTTCAATGTAATATATTAATGGGGGGAGGGGGGGGGGTGCCGCGTAAAGCGAATTCAAAAAGGCGCCAACTTTCAAGGAAGAGAGAAGTGGTCGACTGGCTAAGGGTGATATCATATGTATTTGATTAGGAGCAATGAAGTGTCATTGTATATTTTGATATTTTTGCGGGTAGGGCTTCTTGTCAGCCCTCGTATCTATCTTTCCTTTCCTTGTTTTTGGAAGTTTTTGTCTATACAAATTTTATTAATTTTATCTTCAATGTTGTGTTTTATCTTTTATGATTTTGATCTTGAAATTGTTTGGATTTTGTTTGTCTATCCTAAGGTTTAATTACCGAATTTTGAGTATTCTCCGATAAATTAGTTATTGGATTTGACATTTTATTGGGTTGTTGGGATGGTGATTTCTGAATTCGTTTCACTGTCAATTGGAACAAATATTGCAGCGATTCTTCTGTTGGTTCACTATCCCGTTACAAACCTTCGATTCAGTCCAAGAACCCAATGAGCTAGTTCTTACATTGATTCTACATTGGACTAGTGAGATAAAAATTCTGATTCTATCTCATTGTCAGTTGGGACAAATATTGCGACAAATCTTCCGTTGGTCCAACATTCCGCTAGGTGAATTTTTTCGCTAAATGGGGGCTCGGCCATTTAAACCGAGAATCCACACTAAAGCCTTTTGTTCGCATGAGCATTGACACTTCTGAACGTATTGAGAATAAAGTAATATCAGTCTTAGGTATTCTTTGGGATACAAAGAGAGATATGTTTTTGATAAGAACACGTCCTCTTAGATAAGGTAAAATTTACTAAAAGAGAGGTTTTGAAATTTATTGCAAAACATTTGGACCTTTTTCGTTTTTTGAATTCAGTTTTCTTACCTTGGGGAATACTTTGCCAATCCTCGTGGAAGAATAAGAGCGATTGCAATGATAAATTAAGTTCTAAGTTGTTAGATAAATTTGAACAACTTAAAAGAAACTGGAAGGAATCTAGTCATGAATTCCCTAGATTACGTTTAAAATCTTCAGTTAGATTTTTACATGTCTTTGTTGATGCATCAAAATTTGCTTGTGCAGTTGTAGTCTTTGCAGTTTGTGAATTTGAAAGTTTTTTAAATTCTACCTTAGTTTTTGCTAACAATAGACTGAATCTTCTCAAAAGGTTGACTATACCTTGTTCAGAACTGATGACAGCTCTAATTGGTGCGCGATCAGTTAAGTTTGTAGCTAAACAGTTGGAATTGCAAGTACCAGTTATTGTGTGAAGTGACTCACAGTGTATACTGCAATGGATAAATGAGTCCTCTCTAGATTTGCTGCCAAGGGTTATAAGTAACCGCATAAGAGAAATTAGACAAAAAAA